TCTGGCATGTATGTGATGCTGATTAATTATATATAATATCTTCCATTGTATATATTTGCAACCAGTCAATATCTTTCTCAACTCCCTGGGGAGCATACAGCCGGTGCTGCCATTTCGGCACTCACAGCTAGCATTCTACATTTCTAGCACTACCCAACCGCATACTCATTTACAGCTGAGTAGACTGGAACAAGCGGAGTAAAGTATCTTGCTCATGTATTAGTAAACTCAATATTTCTCTTGGAATCTGCTGATGATCTAGTGCCAGAAACTTTTCATAAATAAAGATGAGATTAATTTATCTAATGAAATAGCCTTGCTATAGTGATATGTACACATACATAGTATAAATATTCTTGATACAAAATTGCCTGTAAAACATATTTTATTGTGAATTTTTTCTTGAACTTAAAATTAACCTAGATAGGTCAAGTTAGATCAAATGTAAAAATAAAAAATGTTCTGGGTATAATAAATTGTATTTCATTACAAATATTCTTCATGTATTTAAGATTTGATTATATCTGGTAGTTTGCCAGATTCTTTACCACCAGGTCTAAATTAACATATAAAGTCTTTGAAAAATTGGACACAATCTAAACCAACTACTTGGGGGTGGGTGAGGGGAGGTTAACTAATTTGATTGGTTTGGAGGAACACTGAACATATCCTTTACCTGTTAACTCACAACAACATACATGAGCACACCCTTTAAACCAGGAATTTATAACACAGGATAATCAGCAGAAATAAAAAAAAAATGCTTACAACAAGTGATGTGAATGATAAATGTTAAATCTTTACCTCAAAATTGCTGTACAATTATTAACCAGAAACTTGAAATAAAGGACATACCTCAGGTAGACACATGTCAAAGAATCCAAGACCTCCTTATTAATAATATAAAACAAAAACAAATACCCCCACCTCCCACCAAATCAAACCAAACTAGAATTCTTCAACGAGGCTGTGTAAGAAAAATAACATAAATCAAGATGAATCTTAAAATCTCACTTTATATTTGAGTATGTGTCGACTGATTATGACAATAATTCTGCGCTCTTACCGAGTTTGGCATCATTACAGCTGCACTAACTGGACCCTCACCATATAAATCCTCAGCAAACTACTTTCATTTGTCTCATTCTGGTTGAAAATGACGTGCAACAGATTAACAAATGTCAGTGACTCTCACCAATAAGAACTATTACTGACCCTTTTTATTTTTGGCCACNTCTCATTCATGTTGAAAATGACGTGCAAAAGATTAACAAATTACAGTGATTCTCACCAATAAGAACTAGTTCTGACCCTTTTACTTTTTGGCCAACAAAAACCAATAGTCATTTGAATAATCAAACCCAGCAACTTCACAGACATTTTTTTAAGCTCCCAATGGCTCTTCGGAACACTCGAGTTTTGTTCGGAAAAGTTTATAACTCGGGATTATTACAGCCATTTTAGTATATAGTAATGTGTGCTTCCTAGTACCAATCTTTTAAAATATATGCGTTAATATAATAGTTAATGTTTAAATATATCAACTTAACTTATTGATAATATTTTATATTGGTGTTAATTACACTTGCGGTAGAAAAATACGAAACAGTTTGTATGCAAAGCTAGTTTTTCACAGCTGCCGTTTGCCGGACTCAGTTTTGTTCGGAAAAGTTTATAACTCGGGATTATTCCAGCCATTTT